CGACGTCAAACTCTGTTTTAGTTCATCAATCCTACTCAGACAGTTTGGATTTCATTTGATATGAAGTGCTTCCGATGATATCAGACGTTATTCGTGATTTATGAAGATTCTCTCTGGATTATTCTAATATTGCCAAAATCAATTTTGTGACTTGAGTTTGTAGCGTGTAGACGAGCTATAGCTGATGATTTTTCATGCTCAACTGGGTATCTCATTGGTCGAACAGATGCTCTAAGGTGTTCATTCCTTCTAATTTTGATTTATCACGAACTATCACGGACTATATCATCTACTTATTGCTTGGTAAAAGATCAATTCCTGAGTCGCTGAAGTCAGTTAAGCTAGACTCAAGTCCATGAGTACATCTCTGATGATTAAAAAATGTATCCGCTGCATAACTGACCATTATTGTAACGACGATGAATAATATAATTTTTAATTGTAAGAAGCTGAAGAGGAGAAATTATTCAAAAGAATATTCTTTGTTCAGTTTGAATTTCAATTAATGATATGAAAATATTTCACACTACTAAATAATGAGCTGACTGTGGTCAGAGAACCAGTGAAAAACCTGGGAGTACTAGACAGCTGTTTCATCTTAGTTTGGGACTATTCAGCAGTACGCACCCACCGGGGTTCGAACACATCTTACATTTGATATCAAGTCGTGACCAGTGGGGTGCGAGGACAAATACTCACCAAAAATATTGTCTAGGGGTCGCATTATGTGGTGAATTGACAGAAGTTAGAATTAATGGACTGGCCATTAGATCGGCTCCCAGTGGCTTAACAAGAAGATCCTGGGTTCGAACCCCGGTGGGTGTTTACTGATGAAGAGTCCAAAACTAGAACGAAACAGCTGTCCAGTACTCCTAGGTGAGTTTTCCAATGGTTCTCTAACTAATATCAGCTCACGATGAAATCCTGTAACCAATCAAATTTCTACAAACCAAGACTTCAATATGTAAATTGATATAAATAATTTGATGTGGCGTGGATCAATTTCTTATCTTTACCCGTTGCTTTTGCTATCCCTCTATTTTGTGTTTGTAACCAGTATATCAGCTGCATGATAGGTTTGTTTAACTGCTTTCTTTAAAGGATGTTTCCCCCAATCGCGTAGCATTATCTCCCTTGAAAAATATCTTTTAATGAACCTTGTTTTTTAGAGACAGTCTCTGATGATGCTGTATCGAATAATGTTCTAACCAGAGTCCTACTCTACTGGAATTGAACGAAGCTATTGAAATTTACAAATTGTTTCGTTCAATATGGCTTTCTGTCAGCCTGTTTAAGTAGATCTACGTCCAAGAAATTTATAGTATCCCTACCTCCAAGTTCTGCTGTAAATTTTATATTAGTATGGTATGAAGGAAAGTCTTCTAACATTATCTCGGCTTTGATCTTATCTCTGCATACCACGAACATATCATCCATATACCGTGGGCATATGTTGGCTTTTCCTCTACAATCTTTTCATAATAATTATATAATAAAAATAATTTTATTCCAAATGAGGGAGTATATTGTAAACTTACCAGGAAAATACATACAAACAGGGGCCTTAATAGATTTCCCATCACCACGTCATCCATTTGAAAATACAATTCGTTACTGAACGAAAACTGTACATCTTTAGTACATATACGTAATAATAATTGCCTCATACAGTGATTAGGTATGGGGGATTCATTTGTCACCTTATAAGGAAAGCCAATCGTTTCACTGACGGAGATGTTTGTGAAAAATGGCATAACATAGAAGGACACAAAGAAATGCCTGCCATTGGCATTCAGCTCAGCAGTCTTTAGAGTAAATTGTATATCCTGGGAACTATTTTACCAAACGACCTAACATATTACACTGTTACTGTGCTTATCTCTTTTGTGTAAGCATCAGGCTTATTTGTTGCTGTCACAGTATTCATGTGTTTGCAGAAGAGCAATTAAACTTGAAGAGTCCTTCTATCGAAATTTATCAAAAAATGATGAAATGCTTCATTTTTCGCAGATGTTGCTTGTTTTAAATTATCTCACATGTCATTTTATTTATTTATTATTCAGTGTAATTTTGTACATTGTTTTTTTTCATATTTCCAACCTTGTTACACAACATTTTGACCGCCTACTGTTTCTATTAATTCCACATTCCCTAAGGTTTATACATTTCCTGGACCACTGTAAAAAATTTCTTAACCTATTTTGTCTCTTGGTGTTTTTTAACTAGGGTTATAAGGGAAAATATTTCATCGTCATTTCAAATTTGTCTAAATACCAGGCCGCTAGGAATTCCTTAGAGCTTTCACTGTTTTCAATTCATCACATAATGTATTAAAAAACAGTCTTTTTGAAGAGGAAAAGACATCAGTAATTGAATTTATGGTTAACGCTACGCTTGATGTCCTTGGATTAGATATGTCATGATTTATTTTAACAAATGCTATGTTGCTACCCAAGAGTTATTGTGGCGATCGCTATTGATAAAATTTACCAGTAGTATATAAAGAGATGTTGTTCAGCATAAAAACATAAAATAGCAGGGAAATAGATAGATTTAATGTCAAAGAAAGCAAATGATACAGCTTTATGGAGATAAGTACATGGGAGACGTGAAAGGAATACAGACAAACGCAATATGCCGAAAGGTGAGAAGTAGCACGACACGAAGATCTGTGCAAATAGTGTGTTGAAAGTAAGGTGTACATAATTTAGCTGGATAGAGATACTTTACCATCAAAGACATTCTGGAGTTAGCTCTGAAGAATATGTGCGCTGGTGATGGTGTACATCTGCTCCCTAGAGAATGACTTTCTGACCTGAAGTACGCAGACGATATCGTCTAAGTGTGAGATAGCATGCAGACTACCAGAATCGCACTTAATTAGTTAGCGATCAGTGTCTGCGAGTATGGTATGTACTTTACGAAGTCTAAGTGCAAAGAACTGTTATACGATTGGCAAGAGCCCGTACTAGCATCCACTCTGGCAGGTGAACCACTGGAAACTGCGGGTGAGTTCGTGTATCCTGGTTGTTGTGTGAGTGCTGGTGAGGTATGACGGTCTGAATTTCCAACCGTAACATGAAAGCTAGTCTGACATACGCTAACCTGAAGTCTGTCGGGGTTGGTACACTGGTACACAGTAGAAACATCGGCTGTGGTTGCTTGGACATGTGCTACAAACGTCATCCCAGAGGCTTCCGTATAGGTCTCTGTTCGCTGAGAGGTGGTCAGCCCATGAGGTGGCTTCGTAGGATGAAGGAAATCGGTGTTAAAATATCATCGGTTAGTGCTTTCCGACTCTCTGGTTGCAGTCCAAAAAATAACTCGAATCGGTGTCTCTAGACGTTATCGAATGTGATGAAGAATCGCAATCATAGGCGAACATGCTGCAGTTTGCTTCTTTCTTCCCTTTCCAACATTAGTTGACGATTACTGTTTGAAATTGTTAAATATGACTTCTTTCCTCCCTGATGAAGTACTGTATCCGTTCTCTACTTAAGTTTTTACTTTGGTCTATGTTGTTTTGCTATCAGACAGGAGACAAGTGGTTCAGAGAAGAGTCTCTTTTTGGCGAATTCATTTTCCTAGCTGTACAATCACAAATATACATATGGTTGTTTATTTATGTGTGTGTACATTAAATTTATCAGATGAAAATACAGTTAGTAAGTTCAGATGGATTGAATGTTGATATAAGAGGGTAGTAAGAAAAGTGATGAATTGTCGCAAACGATTGTTAAAGAAGAGTTACGTGATGGCGACAATAGTTTGATGAAAGAGTTGTGCTCAGGGTGAACATAGAAACAAAACAACATACAGAATAACGCAAGAGTTTTAAGTAGTTAGAAAAATAAGCAAACAAACAAAATTTAAGTCAAATCAAACAAACAAAAGTTAAGTCAAATCAATGAAGTTGTTACCATGAGAGTAGAAGTAGTTGAATAGCCTTCTTTTGTATGCGTAATTCTGGTTCTTCCAACTGAATGACTAGGGCTCCTGCGATGCAAAAAAGACAAAATCGTACTGTCATTGAAATGGTGTTTTTCACTTTGTAGATTACTTTTAAGCAGGAGGCGTTTGTTGAGATGGAATGACCAGTGTTGGTTGACGAGATGTTCGATTATTGCACTCCTTATATGGCTACCACTTCCTTTCTGCAGCCACGCTGGATAGCGTTCTTTGATCCTTTTTGACAGGATGCGCGTTGAACGACCGATGTACCTGGCTGGCTCCACAGCAACAGGTGACAACTGATATATACACACACTGAAGTGGTCAAATGAGGGATCTTGTCCTTTGGGGTTCTGTAGATCAGCTAGCGACTGGAGAACACTACTGTCAGTGTTACCGAAGGGAAATTTCTTCCTAAAGAGATCGAAATTCTCCTTTTGAGGTCGTCGATAAGTAGGTCTCCTTTGAAGTCGAGGTTCATGTTAAGTATCATTTTTTTCACAGATGGTGTCTCTTGCTTTTGGATTTTCTGTTTGATGTTTTTGTCTACGAATCTTGATGGATAAACATTTTGTAGGAAGATTTCTTCCACGAAGTGTAGTTCTTCTTCCATGATATCAGAGATGCGAAAGAGTCGGACGCGAGTGACAAGAGATCTAATTAGGTTTCATTTTCGACTGACTGGTACCCAGCTGTAGAAGCTTGTCAGTTGACTGTTCCATCCGGTTTTCCTATGGATTGACCTTCTTAAAGTTCCGTCAGCTTTCCTTGTAAGTTCAACATCAACAAAGACATTTTAGATTCGTTTTCAATTTGAAGAGTGAACTTTGTATCTGAATGGCATTTTTTGAATATTTTGTTTTATTATTATTGTATGGCGCATCTTCTTGACACCATATTGTACAAAGTTTCATTTGTGTTTAAACAAAAAAGAGCAATAATACCACTATCAAATTTGTTTACAGAATAGTCTAATTTTAAATGCCCTTATTATGTTTATTATTTAAAGACATGTCTATTTGACACTTTTTTTTCCTTTCCTCTTACAGCTGGACAATTGGAAATTCAATCCCTTCAATGGAATATGAACCTTTAAATGTTATTCTGGATACACGAATAGAGTCAAAAGGCGATGCAGATAATAAACATGAACACAGTTTAATCGCTTTACAAAGTGATGCTAGTATTCTTCAACTGACTGTCAATAGAGCAATGCATCAAAAAAGGCTACGATGTTGGGTGGGTATTGAAACACCTGATTTAATGCATCATATTACAAATGTCTCATTACAAGGATTCTTATCAAATAAAGCTTTGACTTGTGTATCAGATTGTAGAAAATTGAAAAATACCCTGAGAAAACGATTAAAAAATATGATATGGGCTAAAGGAGAATATCGGTTGGAAGTCACGTGTAAGTATTTCTATTTTTGGTTTTATTTAACATCTTTCCCTTTGAAAATGTCGTGTATCTGACAGTTTTTTGTAAGAAAAAAAATCGAATAAACAAAATGAATTTACTAGATGGAACTTGATTTTCGCTTTGAAATCTCTAAAATATTATCTAATCATAAAGCAGTGTTGAATCAAAGTGTTTTTTTAATACGTCTGAGATTATATCTATCCTTAACGGTAACATATGCTTTCGGTTGAAACCTCCTAAACATACTTGGTTTTTTCAATCTTTCCCTTCCTAGTGGATTCTAGGGATTTAGATCTTGAGGTTTGAGCAGGCAGGGATAATTCACTTCATCTCCAAACATTCCTTCTTTTGCGAGCCTCCTATCGATGGCCTATCCAAATTTTCGGGCTAACAAAAACCTCACTCCGGATTAGGGGTTAATTGGTGCATAGTGACTAGCAGTGGAATCCAGTTCACGATTACGCACGTTTTGTCCTATTTGGGACTCGTCAGCAGCTGGATGTGTCTGCATTCCACGGTGAGTGATGATGTTCCCACCACCGAGGCTTAAACAAAGTGCCCGTAGTTCTGAACACCAGCCAAAGCTTTATCCACTTGACCACCTGATAGCCACGAGAGACACCTCTTGAATAATTAATATGACCCATTGCGCACAAGAAGGTTCAGTGGATAACGCTTTGGTTGGTGTTTGAAACTATGGGCGTTGGGTTCGAGCCTCGGTGGTGAGAACATCATCACTCACTGCTAAATGCAGATACATCCAGTCAGTTGCTGACAAATCTTAAATAGGACAGTCGTAATGCGTGTTATCCTGGATTCCACTAATTAACCTTTTATTACATACCCAGACATCGTCAAAGCATCTGCACAAGCCGCCAATAGACATGTCAACCTGCGACCGAGAACTTTGGTCCAGTCAATCGATGGGAAAATCTAAAATTTACTCTAGCTAACTCCGTCGACTGCATAAAATTTCTTTCTAACAGAAGTTTCTACTTAACTTCGGAAAAAGAATAATTGTGAATGGTAACTTAACCAAGGACACAAGATAACTAACTATTGTTTTGAGTTGTTTGTCCTTAGTTCTTAAAAGGTTCTCCTCAACTTCTTATAATTGTCATTCAACCAAATGCGGTGCATTTCTTGAAGGTGATGAAGAAGAAATATCCTGCTGTTATTATTCCTATTGTATGTTAAGTCCTCTTGTGCTTTTTTTCATAGTTGTATATACCAGTTAAGCTTTGTAATAGTGGTTATTTTTTTGGTTTTTCGCGTGAACACGCTATACCAAAAGAACATTAAATTCAATACTTATACGATACACGCTAAGGCTTCCATACTGTAACGATAATAGTGTTTGAAGAAAACCTACCGTTATCATTACTATTATTATTATATTTATTATTCTAACTTTATGCTTTGTACATTTTTGGCATGGTAAACATGGAAACGTCCCTGCGGTTAATTTTGTTTAAAATGAGTACATTAGATACAATATTGTCATAAATGCTGAGAATTCTATGCAGTGCTGTGACGTGTGCTACCGATAAGACTTATCAGAGGTATATAAATAGCGTTTATCAGCATACAAACATCAAATAGAGGGGAGATAGATTTGATTTCAGAGAAGGCGAATGATACAACATTATGGAGATACATTGTAGACGTGAATGGCACACAGAGAAAGACAATATGCAGGAAGCAGAGAAATAGCACAACATGGAAGATCTCTGTAAATGGTGCTCTAAAGATAAGGTATACATGATTTCGCTATATAGACATACAAAATCCTAATTATTCTTTTTCTACCATTATATGTGGTATCGCTGCCTGCAGACAATGAAGGTCCCATAACCGGATGCCTTTGAGGGAGGAGAAATACAGAGAGATGCGTTGATGGCACAGCGGTTAGGACTCCCACCAATCATGCACATGGTCCGGAGTTCAGTCCTCTGCCAACGCACACCTGATATCTATGATTGGCCTGGCTATATAGTGAAATTATGTACACCTTATCTTTAGCGCACCATTTGCACAGATCTTCCGTGTTGTGCTACGACTTCCATTCTTTCATACTGTGTTTCTTTCTTTATTTCCTTTCGTGTCTTCCATGCATCTCCGCATTGTTGTGCCATCTGCTTTCTCTGATAATAAATCTATCTATTTCGCTGCTATTTTATGTTTTTATGCTGACCAAAATCTCTTTACATACCTCTAATAATTGAAATAATAAAGAAGATTTGTAGCTCAGGTGGATGATTTGCAATTATTAGTGTTCTCTGAACTGGTTGGTTTAGTTGCGGAGCTTCTGTTGTCCTTCTAGACGACATCTTCAGCGCTGAAGATGTAGTCCGGTTTATACATTCATGCAACGATGGCCAAGGCAAGGAAAGTTGCTGCACACACACATTCCCTCTGAACACACAGCTTTGGCTTCTTTAGGTGGATTCCTATTGCTTCAGCTGTTGTCTATGGAAGACGAACTCGTAAAGCAAAATTAACTTCAGAAGGAATGCGGTAGATAGTTTTAAATGCTATATTATAACGTCCATCTTATGCTCACTATCTACAAGGTGGTCTAACATAGAGCTACGAATAGACCTTGTTTGTCCCTTGCTTAGCCATGTTAGATGATGTTCGGAAATACGATGATGAACCTGCCTAATTGTACGCCCAATGTAGCTGGCTCCGCAGCTCCGCAGTCAAACTGGTAGATACACATAGAGGAGGAGGCAAATTTACGTAGTTTATCCTTATTTTTCGAACGCAGAATAGGGGTGGTTTTGAAGAGACAGTGTACCTCTGCTGCATAATAAGCTCTTTTAACTGCATTCTTCAGGCACTGTGTTATTATTTCCTTGATGTTGTCATCGAGGAACTACAGTTTTATGAACACTGGTTTTTTCGGAGCTGTCACTAACTGACTCTCCTAGGTGGTGAATCCATATTTTTCTCAATAAATTTATCTGGATTACCATTTTTGCTAAGTAATTCTCTAATAATCTTAAGCTACTCATTGAGGCAGTCGTCTGAACAAATTAACTCCCATCTCTATGAACCAGACACTTGACCAGGTTACGTTTATGTTTCATAGGTACAAAACTCAAAAAATGAGTTTACTGACCCGTTGTAGTAGGTTTCCTGTACACACTCCTTCTTAGTGTTCCATCTTCTTTCCTTGCCATAAAGACGACTAGGAATGAGATACTGTCATTACTTTCTTTCTCTATGGTAAAGTTTATTGCTGAATGTGCATCATTAAACTTGTCAAGGATGTTCATTGGATCATTCTCGTTTTTTATGACCAGAAATGTGTCGTCCATATATCGACAGTAGAAATCCATGCCATTTATTACTCCTTTAAAGTGGTCCATTCGAAATAACCAGTAAAAGTAGTATTACTTTAAATTTGATATTTAGACGGATCTATCCATTTCAACTGCACTCTACCCAATTGTAATCATAGTCTCTTCTCTATTATTATTATTATTACTATTATTATTATGTAACCCATCTCTCAGAATTATATTAATCATATCCTTTTTAGTTGAAGAAAAAACGCCTCTAACGGGGGGATGAGAGGTTGGGACATAAAAAAGACAGAACTTTTATGACATAACCACCCTATAAAAAAATAAGAGAAAATGATCTGTGACAGGAGACTTCCTTTTTCCACGTCTCTATCTTACTACCATTTAATCCTTGAAGGCTTGTACGTCTGCACGTGCATTTGTGCTTGTGTGTGCAGGTTTGAGCACACACAAAGTTAGGAGTCAGGTAGACATACTTAAGTTAACCTCATATGTATGTATGTGTGTATAGAATATGTGGATCTATGGAATATTATTCGAGGATAAGTGAGCTTTGATTGTTGCCAGTCTCTACTCTAGTCAGTTTATTCTGGACATTAATAAAAAGTCAGAAATGGTCTTTTTCTAAAAGGTTTTCAAACTAATTTTAATTATTATTTAAGGTGGGATAACGTGATTAATTGTTTGGAAGGGATAGAATGGTCTATGTGTGCATATATATATACATATATATATGTATATATATTGATCATAGCTGAGTTAGATTGGTATTCATTTAGTTGACAAGTGGAATTATACGAATAAAAAACCAAAAGCATTTCATATCAACAGTTTGTTCTATTTTTATTAAATATTGTTTTTTTAAGAAACAGTCTCCTCATCACCACGTGAGACACTGTCAATGTTGGATGCTTCTGTGCTATTAAAATGTCTTCACTGCTCTGCCTTTTGAAGCAATGGAAACTAAAATAAAATCTAGTGGGATGGATTGAACAGGGTTGTGTATGTGTGCATACAATAGCAAATTTACGTAAACTTAGGATAGGAAAGGTTATGAAAGGTAACTACATCCATTTCGATAGCTTCACTTCACTTCAATAAAAAATAAATGAACTTCTTTAAGCGCCTCGGCTACAGAATAAAAAGTATATGTTCAGATGAATGATTTAGGGAAGAAGTGTGTGTAAACTGAAATGTACACTTGGTGGATGGTGGCTAGCAGTGGAATCCAGAGTGCACATTTCGTCCTATTTGGGACTCGTCATCTGGATGTACCTGCATTTCTCAGTGAGTGATGATGTTCCCACCAAAGCTCGAACCCAGTACCCATAGTTTCAAACGCCAAAGCGTTATCCACTAGACCGCTTGGGCCACGAGAGCCACCTCTTGTGCAACGGGTGATATTAATTATTGAATTCAATTCAGTGAAATGTACACTATTAGTATTCGTTGGTTGGACGTTGTCGGCAGCAGGAAGCTTTGCCTGACCTAGATTTCATGCTAGTTGGCACTCACCAGTCAGTCAAGAAGGCGTTTATACAACCTTAAAGGAACTTATGCCCCTTTTGAGATTCGAAACCACGTCACACAGTGCTGCATGCAGTCGGATATTTTACAACACTAACTAGCGAGTGACCTTTTTTATAAGACTGTATTGAAAACTTACACTACAAGAAAATG